CAGCCCCGGGGCTGGAGCCGGGGACGTGGACCGCTGAAGGCACCGCACCTCGGGGAGGCACTTTTCCTCTGGCCCCCGGAGAACAAGAAATTCAAGGTAAGCAACCCTGAGAGCAAAGCAAACCGCCGACGCCCCGGAGGGATGTCCACACCTGATCGCTCCTGTCCCCTAACTCGTGGGGCCCGGTGACGCCCTTGGTCAACGCGGCGTCTCGGGCACCTTCGTGTCGGGCGGCTTGGAGCCGCGTGAGCCTGGAGTGGGGAGACCTGCGCCGGCCGAGGCAAGGCCGAGGGGGGACCCGGGTGCCTTTCTTCCAGCCGTAGCCTGGGCACCGGCTTTGCCCGCCTGCGGGAGGGGCGTCCACGTCCCTTCGCATTCTAGATCTCCGCCAGCCCCAGGGGAACCCTCCCTTTGACTGGGGGCTCCCGGGGGGCGTCTGCGCCTGGGCGGCAAAGCTGGGGCTGCGAGCGCCCAGCGCAGCCCCGGGGCTGGGGTCACTGTCAGCCTCGCCGGCGCGACCCCCGCCGCTCTAGTTCCTCCAGTGTCCTTTGTGCGAGCAACTTTAGAGAAACTTCCTCGGGCTGCGCTGGGTGGTCCGGGACCCGCACGGACGCCGGGGAGAGCCGAGCTGTCACCCCGGGAACGCTCTTCCAGCCCCGGGCCGGGCGACCGCGAGCCGTGCCCCAGCCTGGAGGAGCGCAGGTCGGGGTGGGCTCTAGTCCGCGCCGACCTTCAACCGAGAGCTGGGAGTCCAGTCGGGTGGCCCCGACCTCGGGACTGGAAACGTGTCCCCCCCGCCCCCAGGTCCCAGCTGCTCTCCGCGCGCGTTTTACCAAACAGTCCCGCGGGCCGCGCGGCTCCTGCCTGTGCGCGCGTCTACCTCGGTCCCCGCACTACTGCCTCGGGCTGGCGCGGGAGAGGTCCCCGAAACCCCCCGCCCAGCTCCGCGCTCCGCGCTCTCGTCGCCCAGGCCCTGTGTTTGCCACCGGCACCACTGCGCTGGCACTGAGCTGTGACCCTGACCAAGTCGCGGTTCCCCTCTCGGTCCCCTTCGGGGCGCTGTCCATCTCCTGCTGTGGACGCCAAGTAGCTCCTTGAAGCCCAGACCTGGAGCGGGAAGTGAACCTGAGCAAAAGTCTCCGGCTTTTATTTTGTTTTTTAACTGATTTTTTTTTCCCAGCCACTTCGTTGTGTTGGTAAATGTATTTACTCCTCGCTCTTGGATCTCCCTGGCTCCCTGGTGTAGGAGGAAGACTTTACTTTTCCATTTAGTGGCTGAGCGCCCCACACACGCTACCCTCTCTTTTCCCCTCCACCCCTCCTCCTCCAGCCTGGCTTCCTGAACCCTTTTTCTTCTTGGAAGGAGGGAACCTCTGCACCTCCTCCTCTCCTCCTCCCACCCAGTGCCTGTGCGCTGGTGAGAACCTGGGGAGTCGTCCATGGAAGTAAATGGGACCCGCACCATTCTCCGCCCCCTCCAAACAAGTAAAATCCTCCCTAGGCTCATTGAGTACAGATAAAACATCCCTCCTGAGAGAGAGGTTGCTGAGGATTTAATGGGATTGAATTGTTTTATTGTCCTGGAAGCTGTGATGGATGGATAGATAGGAGAGGGGATATGCGGGCAGCGCAGAGTGGGCTGAGGGCGTTCGATATTTGTTATTATTCATTATTGTTTATTAAGAGTGATAATAAGGCCGTAACCCTAGCTGGGGACTGTGTTTATACTTGGTTTGATTTTATGTCAGTCTCTTATTACAGTGGTTTCAGAGAGGGAAAACACCACAAGGGTATTAATTCCTCACACTCATTCTGCATATGGGATTAATCAGATGTCAAAATGATACTGTCCTTTTACCAAAGTTTCAATCTGTGAACTTTTGGAAGGTTGCCATCTTAAGAAATGCCCTCACTTGCCCCAACCCCTCACTTTCATGTTTTAAAAAGTCAGCAGCATAATTAATTATGGTCCCAATTCCCATTTTCAATCTAAGCCTATATTCAGGATTATATTAAAATGTCCCATTATTTACCCTTCCAAAGCAACTCTCATGAATTTTATGGTCTTAGTGTTGGGGAAAGCTCCTGGGAAGGAGGAGCCCAGAATTCATAGAAATTAGCACTATTGCGAATTTCCTTCAGAAACCCTTTACTTCTTCCTTTAACTAAGGGAATTACAAGTGCCTTCTCTGCTCAGCTCTTAACTTCAATGAATGTCCTTAATCTTTACCACACACTGGAAACATAACAGCTTGCAGCCTTCTCAGTATTATTGTTTTCATTTTTATGTCAGGAAGTTTTATTCATTAAACCTGTATGTCAAAGAAGCAGGCGCAGCGTGGCAGTAACACTCTGTTTTAATTAGTAACTATCATAAAAAAAGAAGCTAGAAGTCTGTAATGGGCCTAAATTGCTATGAATTATGTGTGGTTTAAATTACGCATTTATTTCAGCAGAAATGAAACCATGAATATAAAGCATCTTCTAATCACTTGCAGCTACAGCTTTTTATCTCTTAAGATGCAACCAAATATATAATTGGAAAATATCTTGAGTCAAAGAAGAAGGGAAGTCCCCGCCCCCGGTTTATTTCTCCTGGGTCTATTTAACAGTCTTGTGGTAAAATATGAATACTAAGGAGTAGAGACTAATGTTAAAACCTTGTCAATGCCATGCTGAGAGAATGCTGCCTTAGAAGTAGCCACAGCGGGTCAGTCTTCAGATAATGTCGGGGCTTTTTCAATGGACTCCACGATCCTTGCGATTCAGATCTCAGCTTGTTTGTTTGGACATCTTTGCTAGACTCTGTATGAAGTTGAAGGGGGAAAGAAGTTTTAAAACTCTCACAAATTATTTGAAACGAAGAGGAAAAGGGTTTGAATGTACCCATCTATTGTTATTTTACTATGTTTTCTTTGATAGCAGTTCTAATCAGTTTTTGAGAGATCAGAATTTTTGTTTCAGAATTTGTGTTTTGTGTGTGTGTGTATATGACGGTAGGTCAGAACTTCTATTTTGATATGGTAGGTTAGCCGACATGCCTGGTTTAAGACAAAGTCAAGAATGAGTGTGCATTTTACTTCATTTGGTTAAAATGACGGTTGATTTATTGCTCTCTCACTACCACCAGTCCGCTTTCCCATCTTCTTGTCTAGTCTTGCTTAAGAAAACCAGGCCCCCATGTATGTAATGAGTCAATGACTGAAACTTACCAGTCAGTTGCCATTTGCTTGCTACTAGGAAGAGAGTATTATCCCAAAGTCTTTGTATTGAGTCAAAGACAAGCCTATCCACAAAAAGCATTCAAATAATTCCTTTGACCTTGAAACAATATCTAGTACCTATAAATGTTTATTTATGAAGGGTTATTCTGAAGAACAAACTTTTTTTCCCCTCTATTGGTTTTTTTTTTCCAAAACCATTTTATTGGGAGCTCTTACAGATATCCTACCATTCCATAGTTCCATCACATCAAGCAGTATTGTACAATTGCTACCACAATCAGTTTCAAAACATTTTCTTCCTTCTTGAACTCCTTGATATCAGCTCCCCATTGGTTTATGATCCTTTAATAACGGTAATAGCTAGGCAGGTTATCATTAAATAGTACATTATGCCAAATATTCACATTTGAAAACTGATTTTAGAATTAAAGTCCCCGATATTTAAATACCCCACTTTAAAACTTTGGTTTTATACCGGAGAGTTAGGCTGCAATCTGCTTTGTTTTATTTTTCTACCCATCTACAAATATAACTGAAACCTAGAATACCTGCTGAAGTCATTCCTTTATAACAAGGGTTCTCAACCTGTGGGTCACGACCCCTTTGGGGGTTAAACGAACTTTTCACAGGGGTCACCAATTCATAACAGTAGCAACATTACAATTATTAAGTACCAATGAAAATAATTTTATGGTTGGTGGTCACCACCACATGAAGAACTGTATTAAAGGGTGGCGGCATTAGGAAGGTTAAGAACCACTGCTTTATAACATATATATTATTTTTATCTGGGCGGGGGGAGGAGTAAATACTATGTAGTTGTTATTTTAAAAAGAATTGTGTAGAGTGTCACAGAAAAACAACCCTGCTGATATTTTATTGCATCATGGTGTTGTGTATCAGCCATCCGTTCAGTTATGGACCAACCTCCACTGTTCACATGTGAAACTGCGTTTGTGTGGATGTGTGTACAGACTCACGTTTCTCTGGCCACTGCTGAGAAGACACCTGCCATTTGCTGTGTCTCAGTCGACTCTGGCCAAGCTAGTGCCCAAGGCAGGCAAAGTCTTGACTACTTAGCTCTGAACACACAGCTCTAAGTGCTACGTCCATGCCCTTTCTTCTCACAGTTGCTAACAACAGCAAACTGACACATCGATGTCTTTTGAAGTACTTGGAGAACATGAAATATGTAACATTAGTTCCCCCAAATAAAAGGTATTGTTTGTTTTTGAATTTCTGAAATTAAAGGTAAAACTTTAAACAGTATGAAATAAAAGCTAACTAGTAGTATGTTTCTGTATATTTTTCCATTTGGGATGAGGAGAGGCGCAGAGCAGCTGGGTATTTGGGTCTCATTTCAATGTCTTTTTAAAGACATCCATTGCACGCTATTTGATTTTTAATCCATTTGGAGTTCACAGACTTCATGTATATAGGAAGAGTATAGCAACTTCCAATATTACATTTCATTATCCTCACAATAATTTCCAGATCCTTTGGAAATGGATTTATTTTAGTAAGTTAATGAATAGTTCTTGGTTTTCATTTGCTAATTTCTTCCTGTTGCAAATTTGAAAATGATCCATCTTTAATGTTTCATGTATTTTTCTGAAATATATATTTTCAGAATCATTAAGAACGCTTAAATAAATCTTATTTTTTTAATATGGGAGAGTGGCTATCATTAACTTAACAAATGTCTCCTTTAATTTTTCTTTTGAGAAAAAAAATCCTACTTTATTTTGTATAGCCCTGAGAAAGGGGGAAATTAGAAATGGTGGGGTTAGTATAAGTTTTGGAAGGAGCTCAATAAAAGCATGATTAATCGTGATCTGAAAACCGCTGATGTGCGTGGAGCGCAAGACACTC